CACTAAAGCCCCGAAATCATCTCAAGATAAGAAGATACCCTAATCATTAACATGATGTAATTCAGTCCTCCCTTCCCATTTTGAATTGCCTCTTGAAAGCATTAAACAATGCTCAAGCTGAAGGAGTAGCTTGTACTATCTATTGTACCACATACAGGCGATGAGTCACAATAATGTGGCTATAGATATGACGACATATCACACAACTTGATAAGTGGTCCAGGACGGACCGAAACATTTTCATTTCTCCATTTTCTTATATGTGGTTTGGCCATCGTATTGTACCATATTATTATTTGATAGTATATATATATATATATAGCATAATGAATCTTCCATTTACTCTAATTTTTGTAACATTATGCTATGACACAGACAGCATTCTAATGACTATATACAAACCGTATAAACCACACATATTTGAATAAATTATACAATAAACCATTAATACACCAAAACAACAGGTTTACAAGCACTTTCCTTAAATCTGAAGAAAACGGGTTTCAAAGTGTCACGTACCTTAACGTCGGGCTCTACAGGTGAGGCTGGTACGGTGATAGTGACAGTGCCAGAATGTGGCCGTGGGGGTGGAGGCGGAGGCGTAGAAGTCGGCCGTTTTGCTACCTGTACAGTGAAAGAGTGCAGTTTCTCGTCAGCAATGAAAAACAATATGCATGTACTGTGAAATAAATTCCCTTTCTGTCACCATAATAGAAAAAGAATCTTACTAAATCTTACTAAAAAGAATCTTGCTAAATCTTACTAAAAAGAATCTTACTAAATCTTACTAAAAAGAATCTTACTAAATCTTCCTAAAAAGAATCTTGCTAAATCTTACTAAAAAGAATCTTACTAAATCTTACTAAAAAGAATCTTACTAAATCTTCCTAAAAAGAATCTTGCTAAATCTTACTAAAAAGAATCTTACTAGAGAAAAATCAACCCATTAGTAAAGTACTATTAAATATGATCAGATGAAAGAGTTATCTTGAGATGATTTCGGGGCTTTAGTGTCCCCGCGGCCCAGTCCTCGACCAGGCCTCCGCCCCCAGGAAGCAGCCCGTGACAGCTGACTAACACCCAGGTACTTATTTTACTGCTAGGTAACAGGGGCATAGGGTGAAAGAAACTCTGCCCAGTGTTTCTCGCCGGCGCCTAGGATCGAACCCGGGACCACAGGATCACAAGTCCAGCGTGCTGTCCTCTCAACCGACCGGCTCCCCCCAGTTATTTGACACCAAAAGCCTTATGTAAATCAGAGCTGTAAAGCTAACACTGATGAAGATTTACAATGAACAGCTGAAAAAGAAAGGAAACTGATATACACAATCCAAATAACATTGGATGTAATTAAAGGGTTTCTATCAAAATTACAGTTATTTAATAACAGGAAATTATGGGTTATATTTGCCACAACTTTAATGAACAATTTATAGAAGCTGTCCTGCTGTCAAACTGTCATCTATTCAAAGAGTTGACTATCCCAACAGGTCAAATGAGGTGTTTACTAACACACCTGGCTAAGTGCCACCAAGCAAAGATCATTAACACTTTAGTCCAGGCATGACGCAGCATTGCGTCATCCACTAAATTAATTGCCAAAAATCAGATTTTTATCCGATTTTTTGGGGACTGTTTGGCAACTGTCAACAAGCCGAATGCAATCTGTGACTACAATACAAACATGAAAGGTGTTGATCACTTTGACCAAATGATCAAATATTATCACTTCATAAGGAAAACTCACAAATGGACGAAGAAAATGACCTTCTATTTTGTGCAAATGGCTATCTACAATGCTTATGTGATGTACAACTACTACACAAAAAATACTAAACTATAATACTACATATACTAAAATACTAAACATTTGTGGGCAGGAATTGGGAGTGTAGCTGGAAGGCGTCTGGGCGCTCACTCGCGGTTAGCGCATGACCCGTCTTCAACTCGTCGGCGGGTGGAGCGTGACCAGGATTTTTATTTTATATGCAAGTGTTCCTCTAGAGAATTCTATTGTGAACTCATTGATACCAGAATGAAAGACCTAGGACGAAAATTGAGGTGACCAGAGTGAAAAGAGTGAACACATTTTATCGCTTTTGAGCGCTCCTTGGTAACTCGTTCGCACTTTCTCTGTTTGCTGTGGGTAATTAGCCGAGCTTTTGGAGTTTATATGCATTTAGTGCTGTAGAGAATTCTATTGCGAACACAATGATACCAAATTTATTCTCGTAGGACGAGAATTAAGATGACAAAGTTGGAGAGTATACACTTTTCGGAATTAACGCATGCTCCCGTGAAACTCTGGGACGCAAATTGCACAGTTGAGGGGTGGCGGGCGGGGCACACCAAAGTGTTAATTACGTGTACAAATGAATTCCACCTTAACTCTATTTCATTGAGAATGTAGAAGCTCTTACGATTGAAAATCCTGAGTGCCTTTTCCTCCTAAGTAGCCTGCTTCCGTCAGAAGTTCAAAGAGGATAACTTCAATTAGGAGTAAAGATAGTAGTATCTTTACAAATTTGAGATCATACAAGAATTGTATTTTTTTTTATGCAAGAGAACATGTTAGCAAAACACTGTATGAACATCAGAGGTCCACAGCTTGTCAATATCCCCAACAAACTTAGGAAGTATTGGATATACCAGGCTGTTATGGATATGCTGTCCTGCGGGCCACTTCAAGCAACATCTTGTTGGACCAGACTATCCGAAGACAAACCTGGCCCCAGGCTAGTCTCGGGGAGTAGAATAACTCCCAGCACCCACTGAAGGTAAGTATGTTCTGGGAGTTGTTGTTGTTAAACTTGTAATAACCTGCTCCAGCAAGTTGTTCCCTCTATTTATCTATTTAAAAACTGTCCTGCTGTGAAAGGGAAAGTGAGTACCAAGCAGTACTCAAGGAAGAAAGCACAAGTGACATGAATAGTCTATGTATTGTGATGAAATCCCTAGAGTTGAAGGTTCTCATGCATATCGAGGTGGATTATACCAACCCAGCATATTAGATTCTTCCAGCACCTTATTCTGGTCTAATGTGAAGCTACAGATTCTGAAACACTAGAGAAAGATCAGAGAGAGTCGTTCGTAACGACCTGATGGATCCTATACGTAAAGAATGTTAGTCAACACCTTATGTACAGTATTTGATCCCTAATTCATACTTCCCTACATGCTCACCTCCAAGACAAAATGTCTAGTTCGGTAGCCAGCCATCTGTGGTGCTGTTCAGCATGCTCTGGCAACTAAAAGTCGTTGCAACTCGTTGCTCTGGCAACTAAAAGTCGTTGCAACTCGTTGCTCTGGCAACTAAAAGTCGTTGCAACTCGTTGCTCTGGCAACTAAAAGTCGTTGCAACTCGTTGCTCTGGCAACTAAAAGTCGTTGCAACTCGTTGCTCTGGCAACTAAAAGTCGTTGCAACTCGTTGCTCTGGCAACTAAAAGTCGTTGCAACTCGTTGCTCTGGCAACTAAAAGTCGTTGCAACTCGTTGCTCTGGCAACTAAAAGTCGTTGCAACTCGTTGCTCTGGCAACTAAAAGTCGTTGCAACTCGTTGCTCTGGCAACTAAAAGTAGTTTTGTCATTTCAGATATCGACAATAGCAATGTGTATTTTACTGTACTGAAGATACATAAAATCCTGCAAGTATAGCATAAAAAACATGCAGGCTATGTACTTGCTAAGGCTTAAAGTAGTAGCAAACCTAAGGTTGAATATATGATGATTGTTTAGCACAAAGTAAGTGCTCATGAAACAACTTGCATCTGGCATCCCTTAAGTATGAAAAATTCAGTGTGCTAAACTTAATTTTTTATTTTAATGATAAAGATAAGACTTTACCCTGTCATGATCAAAGTGAGTGCAACTCGACAATCTAAAGAAAAAAGTAATCGCTAACAAAAGCTAAAAGTGTTGACCAGACCACACACTAGAAAGTGAAGGGACGACAACGTTTCAGTCCGTCCTGGACCATTATCAAGTCGATTGTGATGAGAGGAAGGAGGCAAAGGCAATAAATAAGCAAGAGAGGTGAGGAGAAGGAAAGATAAAAGTGGTGTTGAGGTTGTGCGAAAGCAAACCCAAGATGAAACAAACAAACCCATGCCACAGTGTTGTGCCTGCTACAGGCACCCAGGTATTGCCAAGACGAAATGAACACTAATGAAGAGTATGAAGTGATTGGATACGTGACTTATTGAGCATTGCCACAGTGTGAAGAACATACGGATACACAAACAGACGTACCTAGTAGTAGCTATACAAATCTGAGATCATACAGGAATTGTATTTTTTGAACGCAAGACAACATGCTAGCAAATAACTCCCAAAATGTGTTAGCAGACTTTGAGCGCTTCCTTCCCATAGCTCATCATGGTCCTTAGTGCCCAATCATCCCTCCCTGCTCAGGTCTTGAACTCTGGCCGATATCTCTCGAGAGGCAATTAGAACAAGGCTCCCTGTGTGGTGCTGTGCCAAATCAGTTAGTATTCACATATGCGAATTGCATACGATTGGATCCAAGGGAATTTAAAGGTGTCAACTCTCTTGCCGAAGTTCAAAAAGCTTATTTTGTTCCCAAGTTGAAGGACCGCATTAAAAATGTTGGTTTTACGAGAACAAAGACAATATGTTTGCTATATAATATATTTTTCAGCAACACAAAGTCCTAAACCCAACCCGAGTCGAGACTGGCCTCAGGCCGGGCTCGGGAAATAGAACTACTCCCGAAACCCTCTCCAGGCATGCTCCAGATAACCCCAGCCACCATTTCAATCTTGATGTATTTTTGGATATAAAGTTAATATTTTGTGGGTAGGGGAGGGTACATCTATATCTGAACAAGTCGACTTGCTCAAGCCTAACCTGATCAGACAGCAAGACAGCATCTGTATCTAACAATACATTGCATAATTTTGCATTGCATACATAGCATGGTGGCTCAAAGTGAACATAAACCCTTTACTTGCATACGAGAGTGTCATGCAACACAGAGGCCATCACCTTACCTGTACAGTGATGGAGTGAGCAGGGTGAATGGTGGGAGTGTGTGCGACAGGGAAGGCACTCTGGTGAGCAGGTGTGGACGGCGTGCCAGGAGTGGGGTGGTAGACCGAGCCGTGAGGTGTGGGGTACGTGGATATATGATGGGTAGCAGCCACAAGTACAGGTGCAGGAGTAAGCTGCTGGGATTGTATAGGGGCACCATGGGTGATGGAGGGAGGTGGGGGAGCCACTGGGGGGGTTTCCATAGTGGGAGGAGCTGGGGAGGAAGGTATATCTCCCATGTTGAGCGGTCGCACCTCCGATATTGCCAGCGGACGGCAGTGGCGCTCCTCTCCTGGGGTCTTCTCATTGTCAAAATCTAAGCGAGTGGGAAGCGCCCGGGGACCTGTTGATAGACAAATACATTTTGTGTAAACAAATATGAAAATACATAGGTTTTTATGAAGATCCATGCAATAAAGATGCAGAATTTTTTTTAAATATTTCTTACAAGGGTTCAGATTTTTTAACACTTATTTCCACATAAAATAGGTTAAACTGTACTTCATATATACTGTACTACAAAACACAACAATTAACTTCGACTTAAGCACCATTTCCCACACTAGTACAATACCCGTATAAAAATTATTTCCTAGTGATATTCTGAATGTGGTTTAACCAACGTACTCTCAATTTTTTAAAATTTATTTGATAAAAAAACAAAACTCGTCGGGAGGTCAATAAACTAACCAGGAGTGATAGGAGTGGCAGAACTAGACGTGGTAATGGGTACGGCATGTCCCCCGGTGTACAAGTGGTGGGCCGGCTCATGGCTGGGTTGTATGTTTTTAATAAGTCTACCCCAGGCCGCAACATTAATGTTCATCTGATTGGGTCGTAGCACCTTTCCTTTTTGCATAAACAATTTCTTCTGCCGCTGTAACTTAGGTTTGCGGGAGATCATTGGATTTAGGAATTTGATCTGTTGAAAAAAATAAAGGCATTAATTTTCTCAATATAAGTGACTAGTTACAGCACTGAATCAGTAACAATACTTTAATTTAATACATTCATTAGCCACACTTACCTTCAATACTGATGCACATGTTTACTCTGTAAATAACATTGTTAAAATCATGGACTTCTACCAACATGGACTTTTAACACTGCATTCTTAAAATTCTACAACTGGCATATCTCTATTTACAGTACTTTAATATTTGAAACAGTACTGTATCCATGAACAAATCCACAAGGGCCGTGACGAGGATTCGAACCTGCGTCCGACAGCATCCAAGAGTTTAATGAAGTAAGGGCGAAGAGGTAGAACTGCCTATTGACACAGCTCGGGTGCATGGGGAAAGTTGTGTAAAACCCTGGTTTGTGTCTCAGAGAGGCTGCAGGATCCAAGTAAATTCAGTAGAATTTCTGGTTGCAATTCTTATACCATGTTGTAGCTCAGTTGATTAGGGCAGTGTCTGGGATGCTCTCGGACGCAGGTTCAAATCCTCGTCACGGCCCTTGTGGATTTGTTCATTTGATACATCACGCTATTGTGATTTCTGTGTGTACTGTATTCATAAATCTAATAACTACCAGGCATCTATAAATATACAGCATTTCCCAACTGGCATCAGCAGAAAAGCTTCTAGTTTGCCTAATCAAAGCCTACTTTTGACTATGCAATCCCTCTATGCCCTGCTGATGCCGTTTTCCATCTCCATTTATCCACTTCATCCTGCATGATACTAAATGCCTGACCGTCAGTCTACACTCGAACTGATGCGTTTTCCATCTCCATTTATCCACTTCATCCTGCATGATACTAAATGCCTGACCGTCAGTCTACACTCGAACTGATGCGTTTTCCATCTCCATTTATCCACTTCATCCTGCATGATACTAAATGCCTGTCCGTCGGTCTACACTCGAACTGGAATATAGGAGGTCCCAAGAAAATGTTTTTCATTATTCTCAACCTGTCACTAACATTTGAATGTCAATGACCAGCAGTCTACTCAAAGACTCACTTCTCTGGAATAATGTATCCTGCTTAACTAATGCTAAGGAATACAACAATACTGTATCAAGGAATCAATACACAATATTGTATTGAAGAATCAATACAACAATACTGTATTAAGGAATCAATTCAGGAATCAATACAACAATGCTGTATCAAGGAATCAATACAACAATACTGTATTAAGGAATCAATTTAGGAATCAATACAACAATACTGTATCAAGGAATCAATACAACAATACTGTATTAAGGAATCAATTCAGGAATCAATACAACAATACTGTATCAAGGAATCAATACAACAATACTGTATCAAGGAATCAATACAACAATACTGTATCAAGGAATCAATACAACAATACTGTATCAAGGAATCAATTCAGGAATCAATACAACAGGAAATAAATTATGATTTTTGTTATGAATCTATAAACTGTAAGGCTTTGCTCATTACCTGGAACCACATTACTATAACATTAGCCACCAAAACAAAACAAATAAATAATAAAGTCACTGTGCAATTAATATTTAAATACCTCAAGTGTGTTGAAATTACTAAATGGTAGCGGTAATAATGTAGACAAACTCCAAGATGAGAGCAAGCTTCACGTCTAAACATTTCACCAATAAGAGCTCTTATCAACAAACAGCCAAAACAAAGTAACTAGTGCTCATCAAAAGGAAAAAAAAAACACAGGAGACTGGGTGGGACTATCTCACTTCACTATCTCCACTGGGTGGGACTATCTATCTGAAGTGAGACTATCTCACTTCACTATCTCCACTGGGTGGGACTATCTATCTATTTGAAGTGAGACTATCTCACTTCACTATCTCCACTGGGTGGGACTATCTATCTGAAGTGAGACTATCTCACTTCACTATCTCCACTGGGTGGGACTATCTATCTGAAGTGAGACTATCTCACTTCACTATCTCCACTGGGTGGGACTATCTATCTGAAGTGAGACTATCTCACTTCACTGAGGCGAAGGCGAGAAACTTTGAATGTGTTACAATTTACATCTAATAAATGTTGATCTAGTAAAAGCGGTAACAATATATTCTATTTTCAGGTGTAATGTTTGATAGTTGCAAACTCTATACTGATATTTTTTTTTGCCTAACCACTTGGGGTGGATTGTAGAGCGATGGTCTCGCTTCATGCAGGTTGGCGTTCAATCCCCGACCGTCCACACAAGGGGTTGGGCACCATTCCTTCCCCCCGTCCCATCTCAAATCCTTATTCTGATCCCTTCCAAGTGCTATATAGCCACAACAGCTTGGCACTTTCTTTTGATAGTTCCCTTTCCCTTCTTAATGTTTTATTCTCTGATGATGAGTTTAGAATCCCTGAAGTTTAAGAAGTGTTGCTGCTGTTGACTGTGTAATGCAGTGTTGCTGCTGTTGACTGTGTAATGCAGTGTTGCTGCTGTTGACTGTGTAATGCAGTGTTGCTGCTGTTTACTGTGTAATGCAGTGTTGCTGCTGTTTACTGTGTAATGCAGTACTGCTGCTGGTTCCTGTGTAATGCAGTGTTGCTGCTGTTTACTGTGTAATGCAGTGTTGCTGCTGTTATCTGTGTAATGCAGTACTGCTGCTGTTGACTGTGTAATGCAGTGTTGCTGCTGTTGACTGTGTAATGCAGTGTTGCTGCTGTTGACTGTGTAATGCAGTGTTGCTGCTGTTGACTGTGTAATGCAGTGTTGCTGCTGTTTACTGTGTAATGCAGTACTGCTGCTGGTTCCTGTGTAATGCAGTGTTGCTGCTGTTATCTGTAGACATGCTATACTTACAAAATAAAGATCAATCAACATTGCTACTCCAGTCGAGCCTGGCCTCAGGCTGTATATCTTCCCCAAAAAATTAAAAATTATAAATTTTGACAATCCCTCACCTTCACCTCACTCACTCCACCTCTCTCCTGCCTTTTCCTCTTAGCAACCACTAGCTGTGTTTGTTAAGATTTGATAAAATTCCTACAGGCAAAACCTCATCACAAAGTCTACACTTATCTTGGTTTTACTTCACATAAGACAGTACTGTACTTCAATCTACAGGAGTGACTTTTTTAACATGAAAGTACCAACCTCGGCAAACAATAGTCCCTTGGGTTCGAGTTGAAGTGCCATGCCGTGTCTTACATCGTCAATGAACTCCTCCAACCTTAGGAACTTCACCGCACAAAGTGACCGCCAGTCTCGCCAGTAGATGTCTATTTCTAAATCTCTGGATTTTTCTAAATCGATGCTAAATCTGCACATTGAAGAAAAATACAAATATGCATTAGTATTTGAAACCAAAATACTTTAAATAGTCAAAGATAACTGTGAAGCATAAATGTATTAACCCACGGCTTGCACAATTCAAAGACTTGAATGAACAATCTACATAATTAGTGGTTTTATATAATATACAAAGCATGTCCTACTAATTAACCCCATAATTATCTTTATTATCTTGAGATGATTTTGGGGCTTTAGTGTCCCCCGCGGCCCGGTCCTCGACCAGGCCTCCACCCCCAGGAAGTAGCCCGTGACAGCTGACTAACATCCAGGTACCTATTTTACTGCTAGGTAACAGGGGCATAGGGTGAAAGAAACTCTGCCCATTGTTTCTCGCCGGCGCCCGGGATCGAACCCGGGACCACAGGACCACAAGTCCTGTGTGCTGTCCGCTCGGCCGACCGGCTCCCCATGTATGTTTATGTATATTTTATGAACAAAAGTTTTGTGACAAAGTGCAATCCCTGAAAAGAAAGATATGGTGATTGTGGGAGATGAAGATCTAGTGCGAACAATGATGATTGAGGAGGGCAAGAGGGTATAGAACCTGTTTGCAAGATGTGACGCTATTTCTCTCTACTGTATACGGCACACGTGTCATATACAACACTTCTCTCTGCAGAGCATATGACACTCCTCTTTGCATTGTATATGACACTTCTCTCTGCAGTGTACACAACACCTCTCTCTCTCTCTGCAGTGTACACAACACCTCTCTCTCTCTCTGCAGTGTACACAACACCTCTCTCTCTCTGCAGTGTACACAACACCTCTCTCTCTCTGCAGTGTACACAACACCTCTCTCTCTCTCTGCAGTGTACACAACACCTCTCTCTCTCTGCAGTGTACACAACACCTCTCTCTCTCTGCAGTGTACACAACACCTCTCTCTCTCTGCAGTGTACACAACACCTCTCTCTCTCTCTGCAGTGTACACAACACCTCTCTCTCTCTCTGCAGTGTACACAACACCTCTCTCTCTCTCTGCAGTGTACACAACACCTCTCTCTCTCTGCAGTGTACACGACACCCCTCTCTCTAGTGTACACGACACTTCACAGGAAGCCTTATATGTATACCCGTGTTCGGTCCCGGGTTCGATCCCGGGCGCCAGCGAGAAACAATGGGTAGAGTTTCTTTCACCCTGATGCTCCTGTTACCTAGCAGTAAATAGGTACCTGGAAGTTAGTCAGCTGTCACGGGCTGCTTCCTGGGGGTGGAGGCCTGGTCGAGGACCGGGCCGCGGGGACACTAAAGCCCCGAAATCATCTCAAGATAACCAAGATACCTAGGCTTCCTGTGAAGCCTGGGTATGTAAATATACAGTATATAGTTCTTCTTTTTAAGAGCTTCTATGGCAATGATGACCCGAAGCCGAGAGGGAGAATTGTGCACTTCTAGTTCGCCAAGTTCCCGGGTCAGTACTTGACTTCTTACCAGCTAAAAGGTCAATAATTGATATAACAATACAAAAGTAGAGAATACAAATCTGTATTCGACTACACAAATGTCTAAGACAGGAAAAATATCCACAAAAGAGTCGGGCAAGACAAGAGTCGGGGCAACACAAAAGAGTCCCACTTGCCTCTGGTCCCACGCTGATTGAGAGCAGGGTTTCCAGCTAGTCTGGCCAACAACCTTGTTATTATCTAGCTTTAGTACTGCCATTACATCATCTGCAAGGAAAAAATAACAATGCATTACATCCTCTACAAAATATACAAGTATTCCACAAAAATAATTGGGTCACATGCAAGAACAAAAATTTCATTTCATTTAGAACTAATAAAAAATGAATAAAAAGTTGGAAATATACTGTACAATATAAGTTCTATAATATACTGTACAATATATAAACCTAGGTCATAAAAGTATGTGTGTGTACGTCTGATACTATACTACTTGTGTAGAGGGGGAAATGTAGATGTTTATCTCTCAGAATGTTCGGTAATACGTTTATTGTTTGTGATGTGTGTCTATGTATGTATTAACACGATGTACTGAACGGGGTGAGAATAGCGTGAGCTACCTCATCCCTTTGTGTGTATTTTACCTCAATAAACTTGTTTCAATTTCAATATAAGTTGGTTTTACTAACTCAGTGGTGTAAGTTGTCATTCCTCAGACCTTGAAAAACAGCCCATGTTCCTAGTCGGACTTGTGACGTGTTACGTCGAACACCAACATAGAAGTACTGTAATGGAAACAGTGATATGGTTCTGTACGTGTGTCAACCTGGGCGAACACCAACATAGAAGTACTGTAATGGTAACAGTGGTGAGGTTCTGTACGTGTGTCAACCTGGGCGAACACCAACATAGAAGTACTGTAATGGTAACAGTGGTGTGGTTCTGTACGTGTGTCAACCTGGGCTAGCTTAATAAGGCCTCAAAAAGACTGACAGAGATCACAAGGGTTCTGCAGCTCTGACAGAAGTACCAGAAGGCAGCCTGGAGCCAAGACATGACAACCAGGAGTTCTTGAACTCTGCTAAAGAATCATCTCAGACATTCTGTGCTGAATTGCGTCTTTGCCATGAACTCCTTAACACTTTTACGAAGGCACCACCTGAAAAGTAACCCTTACAAATGTGCTAGTAAGTCATCCTGCCTGACGGCATATGATCCTATCCTGCAGACAAAGGGATTCTTACCTTAGGGAGCAGTCGAAAAAGATAACCCACAGAACACACAATATGCTACAAGCTCACTTATCAGGACCATATTCAAATTTTCTATCTTCTATCTCATCTAATTTTGTAGCATTTGTTCACATAGATAATCATCCACATAGTTTTAACAGATTTTTCACTTTTAAAAACTGAAAATTCATATTTGCTGTGCAGTAAAACATTAACATTATTAACATTAACATTATTAACATTATTATATTATGGTACGGACCAACTCTTAAATTCAACTTACTTGAAATTTCGTCCTTAACAGAATAGGATTTGGAGGATTTTCCTGTGACGCCTTTCATGAAAGATTTGAGGTCGGAGGGTCCGGAGTGGGAATCTCGGCGGGACCGGCCTGGAACATCCTCCAGGAGGTCTTGTACACCAATCAATCTGTAAGATCATATTTTGTATTACGTCATTGACACAAGTACAGTAGTACAACTGATTAACCTGAGGGTGCACGCTGATGGTTCAACCCTTTCAACATAAAGGTGCAATGGCATTATTAACCAACTCAAAATGTCACTATGAAAACAGGTTACCAAATATACAATTTTTCTCTTACTAATTGCCATGATATTAATTTTGGCTCTTTCTATTCCTCTAACAGTATACTGTATAGTATAAACTGAGAAAAATTCCATTTTAAGTGAATATATGTTTATGTATATATAAGAGTGTGTGTAATTACCCAAGTGTAGTTACAGGATGAAAGCTAAGCTCTTAGTGTCCCGTCTACCAAGCACTCTGTCATAGAACGCTTTGAAATTAATGATGGTTTTGGCCTCCACCAAAGGGAGCCGGTCGGCCGAGCGGACAGCACGCTGGACTTGTGATCCTGTGGTCCTGGGTTCGATCCCAGGTGCCGGCGAGAAACAATGGGCAGAGTTTCTTTCACCCTATGCCCCTGTTACCTAGCAGTAAAATAGGTACCTGGGTGTTAGTCAGCTGTCACGGGCTGCTTCCTGGGGGTGGAGGCCTGGTCGAGGACCGGGCCGCGGGGACACTAAAGCCCCGAAATAATCTCAAGATAACCTCAAGATAACCACCACCTTCTCACCTAACTTATTCCAACTGTCAACTCTGTTTGCGAAAGTGAATTTTCTTATATTTCTTCGGCATCTGTGTTTAGTTAGTTTAAATCTATGACCTCTTGTTCTTGAAGTTCCAAGTCTCAGGAATTCTTCCCTATTAATTTTATCGATTCCTGTTACTATTTTGTACGTTATCATATTGCCTCTTTTTTTTCTATATCTTCTAGTTTTGGCATATTTAATGCCTCTAACCTCTCCTCATAGCTCTTGTCTTTCAGTTCTGGGAGCCACTTAGTAGCATGTCTTTGCATCTTTTCCAGTTTGTTGATATGCTTCTTAAGATATGGGCACCATACAATCGCTGCATATTCCAGCTTTTGTCTAAAAAAAGTAATGAACAATTTCTTTAGTATTTTGCCATGCATGTATAGTATTTAAAAGCAATTCTGAAATTAGAAAGTGTAGCATAGGCTGCTCGCACAAAGTTCTTTATGTGGTCCTCAGGTGATAGTTTTCTATCTAGAACCAACCCTAGATCTCTTTCTTAAATCAGAATTCTTTAAAGATTTATCACATAATTTATTGGTTGTGTAGGGTCTATGTTCTCCTATTCCACATTCCATAACATGGCATTTATTCACCAGGTGGTGCTCCATATACTTATTTTGTCCAGGTCTTCTAGAAGGGCATGACAATCATCTGTGTTTCTTATTTTCTCTATTATCTTAGCATCATCAGCAAACATGTTCATATAATTCTGTATTCCATCTGGTACATCATTTATGTAGACAATGAACATCACTGGTGCAAAAACTGAACCCTGTGGTACTCTACTTGTGACATTTCTCCACTCCAATACATTGCCTCTGATTACTGCCCTCATTTTTCTGCCGGTTAGAAAATTTTTCATCCATATTAGAAGCCTACCTGTCACTCCTCCAATATGTTCCAGTTTCCAGAACAACCTCGTATGTGGAACTCTGTCAAAAGCCTTTTTTTCAGATCCAGGTAGATGCAGTCAACCCAACCATCTCTTTCCTGTTAAATCTCAGTGGCTTGATCATAGAAACTGAGTAAATTCATTACGCAGGATCTTCCAGATCGAAAACCTGTATGTTATTGTCTATCTGTTAATATATATCTTTTTTCCAGGTGTTCTACCCATTTAGTTTAAATAATTTTTTCTAGTATTGTGACTATTACACTTGTCACAGCTTGTTTAACGTGTTGCTACATTAATGTTTCTAGGAGGATGAGGTTTACAAATCTACAGGTCCGAAAGTCCTCTGTTCTACCTTTATATGCCTCCCAGTCTATGGATTTGAAGTTGAAGTCTCCGACTATCAACAGTCGTGGTCTATCTGCTACCGCCATATAATCTCTCACTATTGTTATAAGACACTCTCGTTTATTATTCAGCTCCTCCTGTATCCATGTGTTGCATGGTGGATAGTACTGTAGTGTAGTATCTACACTACTTGTGTAGTATCCATAGTACAGTGTAGTATCCATAGTACAGTGTAGTATCCATAGTACAAATATTGACGTACTAAGCAACTAGATAGTAGAATTTTGTATTATTCACTTTATAGTCCGAAAAAATGAAGCTAAGAAACAAAGTAATATTCCTAGGTTATCTTCTTGAGGTTATCTTGAGATGATTTTGGGGCTTTAGTGTCCCCGCGGCCCGGTCTTCGACCAGGCCTCCACCCCCAGGAAGCAGCCCGTGACAGCTGACTAACATCCAGGTACCTATTTTACTGCTAGGTAACAGGGGCATAGGGTGAAAGAAACTCTGCCCATTGTTTCTCGCTGGCGCCTGGGATGGAACCCAGGATCACAAGTCCAGCGTGTTGTCCGCTCGGCCGACCAGCTCCTAGGCCTAGTATAGCACACACATTTACCTGAATTTACCTGAGGGCCACTAATGCTAGTGGCCTCGACGAGGACAGGAAGCTGGCAGCTTGTCAAAGGCCCCCCCCCTCCATTTGCCCTGATGATCATTTCTATTTGTATTTTAAAACCCAGCAGAGTTTTGGCATTTATGGCTTCATTGGTAAGGCAGTTCCTTCCTTCTAATATGTACTATATTAGGCCTCATATATCATGTATTAGGCCTAAGAAGGTTAGGTTAGCTTGTGTTTGCAACAAATAGAAAATGTTTTCCAGTTTGTCCAACTCAATAGTACCGATTTCTACTTTCTAATTGTGTTGTACATCGGCATATATACTATGGTCCTCATCTTTACTATAAATACTACCAAAACAGGAGGATGGGCTGTATATCCACAGATCACATGCCTTTTCATTTTATAATGTTGATGCAAAATTAGGTTTTCAGAGGTCAGGATAATATAGGGCTGATAAGGTTAGGCTAGGTTTTACATAGAACAAGTTAGGTTACTTAAGTTAGAATAGGTTTAGTATGGATTAGCCTAGTATGGCTATCTTGAGATGATTTCGGGGCTTTTTTTTAGTGTCCCCCGCGGCCCGGTCCTCGACCAGGCCTCCACCCCCAGGAAGCAGCCCGTGACAGCTGACTAACACCCAGGTACCTATTTTACTGCTAGGTAACAGGGGCATAGGGTGAAAGAAACTCTGCCCATTGTTTCTCGCCGGCGCCTGGGATCGAACCCAGGACCACAGGATCACAAGTCCAGCGTGCTGTCCGCTCGGCCGACCGGCTCGATGGCTGCTGCCATCTCCAACAGAAAAATGGATTATTTGACTCCAAACACAAAAGGCTGCCATAAATATTGTCAACTGCCAATAATAAAGGCAAACATAATTTCTCAGAGTAGCGTTACTTATGAGCCTAAGATGCTATAAATTCAGTCTCTGTTATGACATTTATGAACACCAAGCAAATTAAATATGAAGAATCCTTTCACCAACTCACAAACCCGAATACAAGGAATTCAACAACAAATTACATATGAAATCACATGCAAAGGGGGCCAATATGTGCCACTTTTCTTGCAAATTTACATACACTAACAGTGCTCTAACTGCTGCAGAGTTTTAACTGCCTGAAATGGTTATATTTAATCTGTAAAAGGCAGGTCCAGAGAGAGACTTCAAGATGTTACAAAGATAACATTCGCACCAAACATCTCTACCACCTACAGGGTTACTCATGCCCGTGCTACCTCTTGTGCTGGCTTACATCTTCATCAATCAGTTCAATCTGTAATATCTCTGCAGGTTGCAGACGATGAGTCACAATAACGTGGCTAAAGTATGTTGACCAAACCACACACTAGGTGAAGGGACGACGACGTTTCGATCTGTCCTGGTCCATTCTCAAGTCGATTCAAGTCGATCGACTTGAGAATGGTCCAGAACGGACCGAAACGTCGTCGTCCCTTCACCTTCTAGTGTGGGGTTTGGTTCTCTGCAGGTTAAGTTGAATAGATTCATCTGTAATTTCTAGTTAGACATAAAATGTGCACTATATAGTTAACGTGCTGACTGATTTACGAGTCTGCTTGATACCTGGTTGATGGGGTTCTGGGAGTTGTTCTACTGCCCAAGCCCGGCCCGAGGCCAGGCTTGACTTGTGAGAGTTTGGTCCACCAGGCTGTTGCTTGGAGCGGCCCGCAGGCCCACATATACCTGGTTGATGGGGTTCTGGGAGTTGTTCTACTGCCCAAGCCCGGCCCGAGGCCAGGCTTGACTTGTGAGAGTTTGGTCCACCAGGCTGTTGCTTGGAGCGGCCCGCAGGCCCACATATACCTGGTTGATGGGGTTCTGGGAGTTGTTCTACTGCCCAAGCCCGGCCCGAGGCCAGGCTTGACTTGTGAGAGTTTGGTCCACCAGGCTGTTGCTTGGGGCGGCCCGCATACCATATCGTCCATGGTAAACCAAAACACCTATTGTATTAAATATGCTTATTCTCTGCATTAAGTCGCAACAAAGTGGCTGCAGCAAGTAACTCGACCCCCACACGCATAGGGCATTAGAGAAAAGACGACGTTTCGGTCCTCTGTTATAAATTTGAGACTTTATGAAAAATCGTGTCTCTTATTTCATGTCTGGGACTCAATTGATTTCATCTCTTTTAATTAAATTTCTGGCCAGCCCTTGGACCACGAGAGGCGTGACCACCAGAGGCGTGACCACGAGAGGCGTGACCACGAGAGGCGAGACCACGAGAGGCGTGACCACGAGAGGCGTGACCACGAGAGGCGTGACCACGAGAGGCGTGACCACGAGAGGCGTGACCACGAGAGGCGTGACCACGAGAGGCGTGACCACGAGAGGCGTGACCACGAGAGGCGTGACCACGAGAGGCGAGACCACGAGAGGCGTGACCACGAGAGGCGAGACCACGAGGGGCGTGACCACGAGAGGCGT